TATGTTGGAACCGAAGACCCTGGAAGGCTTGTTGATGCGTGGAGGTGATTGGTCTTGTTGACTGAAGCCACTTAGACCTGGCGACAGTGGAGGCGTCAGATTCCGCGGTGATGTCGCCGCCTTTCGTAGCCCAAAGCCAAAGCGACCGGTCGGCTTGGGTGGTAAGGGCGGTGGTCGGTCCTCAGAACTCGTACTGCCCGTGTTCTGTCGCGTGCCCGGCCGCGAAGCGTCCAAGTATATCCTCTGCTCGTATTTTGCCCGTATGTATCTCTCCATAGCACTGTCTACCTCGTCGATGTCGATGGGTATGGAGGGCTTGACGTTGCGCGGATTGTACGTCTTATTCGATTCGAGGTTACCAATGCGCTTCATATTCTAACCAGACATTAGCATCCGGACTCGAGCCGCAGAAGTCTGACGGTTCTTACGTCTACTTGCGCATTGTCCCACTTATCCATACTCAAAGACTTGACCTTGGAGATGTGCGTCCCCAGCTTGCGATGCAGGGCTGCGCATCGCATGCACAGAAAGATGCCGAGCTACAGGAAACGTCAGTAATGTGTTGGCTGTCGACGGACGATGGATTTAAGAGGAATATAGATTCGCGTTGTCGTATGGGGAGACTTACACTCCAGCTCGCCCATCCTGTGTGATGTGGTTAGCATTGGGCCTCCCGGACAGCATGCGCCTGCACAACTTACCTGGATTCCGCGCACCGCAGTCGGCGCAAGTTCCGTTGCCTGGAACTGTCTTGATGAGTTCCTGTAACGTACGCTCATTACGCGCTTGCTGGCGCTTGTTCAGGGCCGACGCCATCTTGTCTGGAAGGAGGAAGCGGTTCGGGCGGAGGTCGAAGATCGGGGCGCGGCAGAACGTGCACGAGAGCAATACGCGGGGGGAAAGGGGGCTTGAAGGACGGCAAGAGGGCGCGTATGTAAGATTACCCAAGAAAGAATAATTCCATAGCAAAGCAAAACATGAGCACAGAAAGGGGACTTGGTACGGCCCTTAGTTGACACACGCGATGACGAGTAATGCATCCGTTCCACATTCACACACATGGCAACCCGCAGAAGCTCCAGAACCCTGCGATTTAGGGCTATATACGGCACCATGCCCCTGTCTGAGCTTCGAACATTCCACCCGAAAGTCCATCGTCGTCCTGCCAGCCTATCGAGATGGGACAGCTTACGACAGCGCATGAGCAGCAGGCGCGCTCAGTGGCGCGACTCAGAGACGCTGCCGATCTGGTTTTCGAAGGGCCGAAGCCATCTTCTTTCCTTGCCGGTCGGTCGGCCAGCCGGTCATAAGACACATAACGGCTGGGTGGTGTTGCAGTCGTCGTCGCTGCTTCACAGTCCGAGAAAACAACTCGTCTCACAAGTTCAGGTCCAAGCTAGCAATGTTTTTCTTGGAACACAGCGAAAAAAGCTAGTATGTATGGTCACGCAGGTGGCTTCAAGCAACATAGAAATCGAAGCAAAAAGCCTAAAAGTGCCAGGTATTACTCTAGTGACGCAAATATGACAACTATAGAGATGATGAGCTCAGTATAGCCGTTGATTAATCGTCCATTTTTATGATTGTGTGTAAGGAAGAGAAAGCGTGCCCGAGCTGCGACGAGAATTTCAGGTGCGCGATGCCAAGGGCTGCTGACAAAGAGGGGTCCGAGCGTGATAATTTTCATCAAAACCCAAGCTCCAGCTCGCTCTGCTGCTCACCAACAACCTCGCGATGTACAGGTTGCGGCACGTGCTCCTACGCAGAACGATCAATGTTTGTCGTTCTTCGAGTCGTCGCACATGTACATGTTGTATGCTACTACCCCACTATTGCCTGCTCCCGGGTTCAGCTCTCTATGGCCTGGAAGCAACTTTTCTCTCTGTGGGAGACTGAAATTGGTTTTTAGCAGAGCCGTGTCTTCTCCACCCTACCCATGAACATCTCGTGGATGTGTAGGACTATAATTGGACATACATCTTTCTCCAGCTTACAAGCCGGTGTGTACTGCTGTCGTGTCGATCCGAGTCCCCGTGTGTCCACAGCACGTTGCCTATGGTTCGTACAGGTGCCAGTGCAGTATGTTGAGACCATGAGAGGTAGTAGCTCGAGCTCAAGGCATCATCACAGAAACAAGGATGTAGAACGAGAGATCAAGCCAGCTACCTCACTTCGGTCAATGCATTCAATAATACATAAGCACGTTGCTGCGCTTGCAGCTATCAAGTGTCAGGGACACCGCAGCTCATAGATGCGCCTTCGAAACCTCATCATCTCGGAATCGCTTTGGCCAAATACCTTGTTTTCCTGGCGACAGTATACCATTAGGATCAACAGCGTCTTTGATTGTCTCAACAAATCTTCGATACGCATGGTCATTGAAATCGTACAGCGAAGCGACCCGATCTGAATCAAAATTAGTGGCTGTAGACAAGCAGTCATGCCCCAAAAAAAACCAATGCTTACCCATGGTGTTCACATGGCTACGATACTTGCTGTACCCTCTTTTCTTTCCCGCCTCAAACAAGTTGTCAAAGATGCTCTGTACGGCTTTCCGGTGCGTCGCGTTCGTCTTGTCAAAGGTAAACATGTTGACGAAGATGACTATATACATACATTAACATCAGTATGTGTCGTCCCCCATCATTTGACAGTAAGGACTTACCGTGTCGCTCGTGCATGAAGAAGTCGCAGAACAAATCAAAGTTGTCAGCTTCGCAGATCTTCTTCGCTGTCTTGACCCAGCTCAGGATCTCCTTGCCTTTGGAAGGAATGATGGGACTGTAGTCGTAATGCGCGCCGATACCGCCCCCAGATTTGGGCAGGCGGAACTTCACCATGGGAAGCGACCAGAGAGTCGGTATACCAACGAAGAAGCCACCGTCCATTTCGGGAACGGATGCAGGATCCAACGTCTCTCCATCCGGCGCAGAGAATATCTTACCCATCAACCGACCTTTCGGCGCTTTCTTCTCGATGATCTTCTTCAACTGATCGAAATGCGCCTGCACAACATCTCTCGCGCCATATAACCCAAATTTGGCGTTCCAGTAGCCCAGGTCGAACTGCTTCTGTAGCTCTTTCACTCTCCAGTCTGGTATTGAAGTATTATGCGGCCAAAAGTCTTCTCGTGGACCCATCATGCCTAGCCACTCAGTTACATTCGATACGTAGACTGTGTTTGGAAGCAGACCGTCACGTCGCAGTGGCCCAAATACATCGACAATCGTCTCCACATCGTCGAAGTCAGGCATGTCAAATGAGCAGGACATGAAGGCTTGGGGTGCGGGTGTAAGCCAGATGCCGAGTTTAGTTACGATACCAAGGTTGGACTGCAGGAACAAGCCCTCGATGCTAGGTCCAAATGTGAACTTTGAGAGATGCGCAGATGGTGAGTTGGAAACGGCGAATTGTCCTGTTCGTACGAGCTCACCATTCGCCAGCATAGCTTCGACCCCACAAATATGCTGATGATGTGTTGCTGTGGGCGTGAAGCCTGTGCCTCGATCAAGCGTGTTCCCGACAACGGAACCCCATCCCAAGGATGGTACCGAAGGCCAAACATTGAGCTTGTTCTTAACGCAGTAATCGTAGAGTTCAGTGAAGGTAACCCCAGGTTCGACGACAGCGTAAGCGTATTCAGCGCTTACTTCAATGATTTTGTCCATGCGATGAAGATCGAGGGCTATAGAGCCAGTCACGCGAGGAGCTGGTCCACCATATCTGTCCAATTGTTAGACGATCGACTGAGATGTGTGAAGGAGTCTACTAACCCGAGGTTTTTGCCTCTTGAAAATGTCCACACTGGTATGACGAATTCGTTCGAGATCTTCAGCACTTCTCTCAGTTCCTCTACATTCTTGGGTCGAACGGCTGCGCTGGGCATTCTACGCGTCCCCTCCGCCTCATGCAACTCATACGGGTCGATGTACTCTGTCAAGGCCTCGCCTTCGTATACCTGCGCATCGCCAACAATACTTTTATATCTCTTGATCGCTGTATCGAATGCGTCTCTGTCAATACCAGGCGGTAGTACCGACTTTAGCGGAACGGTTACAGAGTCCTTGAACAGGTTGTAATGTGTTGATTGGTACTCTGGATTGATGTAAGCTGGTAATGGTGTCATTGTAAACGATGCCAGATGTGTGTTGCGAGAAGGCGAGACGTATCTCTATGACAAGCCGTTAATATATTCTGCAGGAACAGACCTCTTCGGCTAGGTGAATACATGGGTGCCGACGCTAGTTACATGTGTGAAGGCGTCTTTCCCCACATTGCGGAGAAGGACCCCACATCTACACTTCTCCAACGTTTCGGCCCTAATCCTGCCACTACTCCTCTCAATAGCTCTCTGAAGCCTTAAGACCGGTACGTTTTCTACGATGTGTGTAATGTGAGTAATATAGAGAATGATACCGAGTGCGTTCGCACAGTCCGTGCCTTGCGCATACAGAGTGCTACATGCACGTATTGGTTGCAATAGTGGAAGTCTTCGGGTTTTGCTTGTCTGACTTTCAGGATAGTCGTGGTAGACAATTTATGGAATGGGCCATGGTCAGGTTCGTTGCAGACTGGAGGAAGACCGGCCGGGTTGACGGACCAACAGGCTGGCGATCCGCCACCTGCATGGCACAAGTGGTTAACAATGCTTAGCGTTCGTAAAGCTGCTGGTAGTAGATAGAAATTGATGAAGAACTACTCATACCATTCTGGGCACTATAATGCTATACTTTCGAGACACGACATAGGTGACACTGCCTGATTTTCACCACGTCAATCCTGTCTTCCTTTCCCACGTCGTCACGACAGGCGTAGCCTTTAGCTCCGGAAACTTATCTCTATGCGAGAAGGCTAAGCGGCGCATGACGCGTTCGAGTAAAGCACGTCGTGTCATCTCTGGAAGTCTGGTTCTGTCGCAAAGACTATCAATCTGCAAGCAGTCGATGTTGGCGGCTCCAACTGATGCCTATCTCCACGTCAGTGCCGCTCTGTGTACCCACTCAGAAAGAAATACCCACTTCAGAAATACCTTGCGTCTGGAGAGCTTGTAAGATGCTATCCCACAGCTCAGATCCACCCAGTCTGGCTACAGAGGACCAGGAGCCGAAGAGTATATTAAGGACAGCTGGAACAGACTACATATTTGAGTTAGTCTCTATAGCTAGTGCACATTGTTGGAAACCATACTGGAACAGAGTGAGCGAAAACGAAGGGCATAGCCTTCAGTTCAGGGAAGGCACTCGGCTCCGCAATGACCCACGGAATAAGTGCCGTTTCGATGTCCTTCTTGATTCTCATGAATCCATAGTGTTCCCCAGGTTTGGGGAACGCAAGAGCGATGGCATTTTGGAGCTCGGACGTTGTGCGAGTCTTGTTCATGCCTCCCAAACCACTCACAACGATACGCTGCGGTGGGTTAGCTGTAATTACGACAATTGGATGGCGGTAATCTACCTCTGCTGAAATGCGATGTTTGATATTACTCATGATCGTTTGCGTGATTCTGGTGGAATCGTTCATACATTCGGTTGCGGTCAGGCTGTCTGATCCCCATAGCAGGCTCAGTACTGGCATACCGAAGGTCTAAGAATACTTAGTACTAGAATTGGACTGATGTGGCACTGACGTACACTGTCAATGTTCTCACTGCTCTTAAGATGTTGAACTCTCTGCCTTTCTGCTACCTCTACTCTGAGGAGTGGCCTGTCGAGCTCATGTTCTTCCGTAGACAAATGACGAAAGACCTTCGTTGCTTCTGCGATGTGGTTGATCTGGGAGTCCTCTCCTACTTTGACTGATCTTTCGGCGGTCTCGCATTTGACGAAAGCCTCCTCATAGTCGTTCTCAACATGGATTGCGCGCCCTCTTAATCTACCAAATTCACCAGGTTTTGTTTTCTTATCGATTCTAGCCTTCATACGCAAGTCGACTGGCGCTGGTGTGGCACGAGAGAGTTGCCGATCAACGCTCGAAGTAGCAACATCTTGTCGTGTTAGCATCTCACGGTCGCCGTTGAGAAGCTTCTGTAAGCTCCCCACCCACTTCTCAAACTCATCCGGAGGCATACCATCGAGTAAGGACTGCATCTCACACCGGAGTTCTTTCCTCGACGCTTGCGACCCAAGTTTTCGTTTAGCGATAGGCAATGCATGATAGGCAAACAGACTGCTTGTGCGTGGGAAAGCATCAGCCACATCGTCATCCGCGAGCTGTGTCTCATCAATGTTCCATTGCCACTTGGAAGATATCTTTTTGTCCTTGTTTGTCGAGACGCGCCGTTCAGTCGGAAGTGCTGCTGAATAGAAGTCCATGTTAGCGTTTTTGGGGGTATCATCTTTCACCGGAGTGCGCCTACGCTTTGTCTTCTTAGTTCGTCTCTCGCGCTTTCTCTTTTTCTCGGATGTTGGAGAGTCAACATCGTAAACGTCAATGGTGCCCATATCTTCATCACTACCGACCGTTTCTTGTGGATCTCCAATTTTAGTCAACAAATCCGTCGGGTTTTCTGAAGCTTTTGCTTTAAGTTGGAGTAGACTCGCAATCATGTGTCCCAGAATATCACCTCCGAGGTCACTCCCATGGAGCTTCACACTAGCTACTATTGTAGCTTGCACCATCGTTTCGACCTTGGTCACCGTGTCAAGATGCTCAGCAAGCAGCGATGCTACACGCTGTGTCATCTCAGTACGGAAGATCTCTGCCATCTTTCGTATGTTGTTTTCCGGAGCCATCTCTTCCCGCATGTGCTGCTCCAGAATTTGTGACCCAAGCTGATCTAGAACGCCTTCAGGGAAGCAAATCCGGACTAGCCCTTGTACTGCGTTTTTGAATAATTCGTTGTTGAGGTCTTTCGCAGACGAAATGACCTTAACACGAAACAGCCAATCTTCTCCGGTAGGCAGGGAAGTCGAGGTGCTGGTGGGGAGCACACGCGCGCGTTTCGGAGCTGTACCGTGAACTGGAGATTGTGATCTCTGATAGTCGTTAGCTCCGCCGCGACTTAGTTGTAGCTGCGTCTTCGCGGCTATCTGTTTGCGACAGGCTGATGCAGTCACATCGACACTTACTCGTCGTTTCTTCGTTCCACTCACCATATTGTCAGCTTTGGAGAGGTTATAAGACGTCACTAGTGGAAGACGTGAAGCGAAAACCAAAGATGGTGGGGTGGACTGAAAAGGTGGCAGTCGCGACTGCGGCGGAGTTGAGGGAAAGAGAGAAGACAAACGCTCGCCAGGGCAACGCGTCTTGCTTTCACCAACCTGCAACGTCACAATTATTTTTTGTGAAATTCGGAGTGAGATTGAGAAAGCAACATCTGATATCCCAGATGCGTCGCAAATACAGCCATAGATCTATCTCGTGCCCTTTGTAAGGTGTTCCCTCAATAAGTCTATGCCTCATGCCACGATACCGATACCTATGGAGCCTGCAACACGACCTCGAATTCAAAAGGTTGGCACAGTAGACTGTACTCGTCCAGTGTCCTCGGTCCACAGCTTCCGCTGCCCAGTCCATGATGTTCCGCGTCTAACCTAAGCACAACCTCCTCCCTCTTCTTCTTCCTCAGTTCATGCGGATGATCCGCGGCCGCAACATCCTTCATCCTGTAATGACTGACTTGAAAGTCAAACAGCTTCCTTTGTTCACTCTTCTGGTCCGCAAACTGAGCGAGCAGTCCTGCGCCGCTACCGTTTGTGAGACTAAGATAACGGGTGTCTGTATGGTTTGATGATTCTTGAGGCACCTCGTAATCAACCCAGAGTTCGTCGACGCTGGATGCTGTGTACTTGCCCACGGATTGGGAAAGCTTGCTATCGCGGTAAGTCTCGCCGAAGCCGCGGCCAAACCATTCGACTCGTTGGAATTGCTTAGGAAGCTCCATAACGAGACCGATGCGTGGAAGGGTACGAGGTAGGTTCTCACCCTTTGGTGTACCGATAACATGCACAGACAGAGTACTGTTGGCGCTGAAGGTGTACGTAAGAACGCAGTCGACAGACCAAGAGAGAACTGGAGGTGCGACACGTTGATGCACGGTAACCTTGAGGGTCTCTGAGCCAGACTGTGACCATTCGACCTTGCGAGTCAATGGTTTTGCGTGATGCAGTTGCTTGTCTTTCCAATCCCAGCCGTCTTGTGGGATATCATTGTCGGTAGGTGCGCGGAAGATGTCAATTTCTGGTGCCTTGGAGAGAAGCTCGGTAGAACCTTGTATCCAGGATGTGAGGCTACCATGAAGAGTGTTGAACTCCCAAATGGCTTGATCCGCCATGATCTTGATGGTGTTCCTGGATGGTTTCTCAACAGTGATCTGCTTGCCCGATGCCTGAGGTCGCTTCAATGGCGTTGCTGGTGTGACGGATATCTGTGCTGTCGCGATCTCGAAACCTGCCTTGAGATATGGTGTAGCCTCCTTCAGCTGAAACGAGATGTTGAGCAGGGTCTCCTCTCCTGAACCCTCAATCTTTGGAAGCTGTACATCAAAGGTCTGACCAGGCGAGATACCAAAAGGAACCTCTAGGCTTCCTGATACACTTCCACTTCCAGATGCGGAAGTTGATGTGTACTGGCAGCTCAAGTGATTGAGTGTGATGAAGTCGTACCGGTTGATAAATGTAGCCTTCGAATCGGTCGATTCCACAAGCTGCACAGGTTCGATAGCTTTTTTGTACTCGATCAAGCCTGCATTGGGAGAATGGTCGGAGTTGACAAGACCGTCCATAACAAATGTTGCATCGTGAACTTCTTCACCAAAATCACCGCCATAGGCATAGAACTCCTCACCAGTTTGCTTGTCCTTGGTAAGAAGACCGTGATTCGCCCACTCCCATGCGAAACCTCCCTGAAGGTTTGGGTATTTGTAGAAAGCGTCGATGTATTCCTTGATATTACCAGGACCGTTACCCATGGCGTGGATCTAATGTAGTCAGTCATAGCTCTGGATTTCGACGGAGTATACCTTACATATTCGCAAAGAACCAGTGGCTTCTTCTTGCTCTTGTCTTCACCGAACTTGATAATCTCGTCGATTGGGGGATACATCCTGGAGTACATGTCCATAGTATCTGCGTAGATGTCTGCTTCGTAGTGGACAGGCCGGCTGTCGTCGTACTTTTTGATGTGCTCGTACATGGCCACGAAGTTACGTCCCATGAAAGCTTCATTACCGAGACTCCATATGATGACAGACGGATGCATCTGATCTCTCTTGATGAGTGCTTCTGCACGGTCCACGTACGCATGCGTCCAGGCTGGGTTGTCGGTTGTCCATTCCGCGGCCTTTGACCTAGTCAGAAGCTGGCGCTCACGGAAAGGAAGGTTGCGCTCTTCTTTTGACAAAGCAGCATCGGCGATACTTTCAAAGCCGTGGCACTCTAAATCAGCTTCGTCAATCACCCAAAAGCCCATCTCGTCTGCAAGATCGTATAGTCGTGGATCGTTGAGTTGATGGGAGGTGCGGATGGCGTTGATGTTGTGACGCTTCATGATCAGAAGGTCTTCTTTCATGAATTCATATGGCACAGCACGACCAAAAGTGGGGTGGTGTTCGTGACGGTTGACCCCGCGGAAAACGACTCTCTTACCATTGACTTTGATTAAGCCGTCTTTCATCTCGACTTGTCTGAAGCCGATACGCTGGGCGATAACTTGATCACCGGTAGAGACCACGAGGTGGTACAGGTTGGGCGATTCAGCAGTCCACTTTAGAGGGTCCTTTACTTGGACGCTGAGTTCAGTCACGCCATCACTCTTGATGTCTGCATCTGACGAAGCAATTTCTTGCTTCTTCTCATCCAGGAGTTTCACTGTGAGCTTGCCAGATCCGGTCGCGCTGACCTTGATCTTCAGTTCCGCGTCGGTGTAGGATGAATCCAAGATCGTCTGAGCAAAGACATTTTCGATGCGCGACGCCTTGGGGAAACCCACCAAGAAGACGTCACGAAATCTGTAGTTGTGAGTTTATTATTTGTCTTAAAACAGACTTTACTTACATGCCACTCAGCCACCACTGGTCTTGATCTTCAATATAAGTTCCGTCGCAATGTTGATACACTCTGACGGCCAGGGTGTTTTCGGCATTAAGATCGACAACCGAGGTAATATCGAACTCATCTGGGTTTCTGCTGCCCTGAGAATATCCGACTTCCTTTCCGTTCACCCATACATGGAAAGCAGCATCAACGCCCTCAAACCGGAGTCGAAGCTGACCGTCCTGAAGTTGTTTCGGAACCTCAAACTTACGTACGTACGATCCAGTCTCGTTCTCAGTAAAAGGAACGTTTGGAGGATCGGCTGGGATGTGATAAATGACGTTCGTATACTGGGGGCCTTTGCCGAATCCCTGCAACTGCCACATGCCTGGCACAGCAATGTCGCTCCATGACGATGTGTCGAACGAAGTCGACTCAAAGCCTTCTGGAGCTTCAAAGGGTGAAAATGAATGCTGGAACTTCCACGTGCCGGAGAGGCTATGTGTCGTAGACTTGTTCACATCGGAACCAAGTGCGTCAGCCTCGGACTTGTAGTTGTGGAAGTAAGCGCGTGCAGGTAGCGTATTCTTGTGAAGGATGTCAAGATTGTTCCAGTCCGGAACGCTTGCTGGGTGTTGACCTGAAGCCATGATGGATGAGTTGAAAGTTGATGGTACTCTCACAAACCTCTGCTCTACGTTCTTCTCGTCTGATACAGTCGTTGTAGCCCCACTATACGGCCGTACACAACGCGACTTTGACCCATCAGGAAAGCCATCCGGTCACACATGGTGAAAGCCAAGGAAACCGACCATCTGCCCCTCTGGTGATATGAACTAGAAAACGTGACGGCAATTGACGGCGCGTGTTGCATGTGGAAGCGTGCATCGGGGGTTGGATGGTCCGGGCGCGAGCGGGGGCCCCTGCCAGATCAACAAGGCAGCTTCTGCATTTGGCTGCTTCCTTCTCCACGAATCCATCCCCAGACCCCGCTGCCCAGCCGTACTACACCATATCCACTCTCGCCTTGTTCTTTACGATTCACTGGCAAACCGACCGGCTCATTTCTTGATTCATCTGCATCGTGAAGACTTCACGCGTGGCGCTCTAGAACTGGTATGTTTTGGGAAGCCCGTCCGTTTGCCGAACTGCTTCTGGGCCTGGATCCGCTTTATTAGAAGGGCCTATTACTTGGCTATAGCACCTTCGAGGCATAGCGAGCTTGGAAGGTAAAAATTTCCCAGTCACTCCGCCGTCACTCCGACCCTAAAGCGGTGCTATTACCGCTCATTAAGCATACTTGGCTAACGGCGTGGCGCCCTGAACGCCGCATCACTGCATCCAGAGCAAACCATGCATCGGGTCAGGCAAGCATGGTAGGAGCCTCGGTGCCATGGGGTTGCAAGCGCGAATTGTTCTGCGGAGAAGCCTGTACACTATAAGAAGACCCAGTATTCCGGAATCCTTGAGCATCGTTGCACATTGGCCATCGAGTGGAGAGCAGTTCCATTTTTTTCCTCCACAACTCCAGATTTTCTCCAGTCTTTGCCGGCTGCATATTCAAGATGGCGGAGAAGAAAGATGAGATGGGCGCTGTCACGCACCAACTCAGCCAGGTCGACGATGACATGAACAAGCATGCGAACGTCAAGGAGGCTAACGTAGCCTCAGTGGCTCTAAGTAAGTTTCATTTTGAAGCCTCAGTGGATGGTAGGAGTCAATACTGATAGCGCGTAGCCGCTGCCATGGAGGCAGAAAAGCCGAAGCTGTGGTCTCGAGGCATGATCCAGCTCTACATGATCATGGGCATTGGCTACCTCGTCTCTACGCTCAACGGTTTCGACAGCTCTCTCATGGGATCCATCAACGCGATGGAAGCCTACCAGAGCACGTTTGGTTTGACTGGTCAAGGATCCAGCACTGGTATCATCTTCATCATCTACAATCTGGGCCAAATTGCCGCTTTTCCATTGTAAGTAGGCGTCAGACGTAGGTACCAGTTTTCCTTGCGACTAACGTTGTTCAGTTGTGGATTTCTTGCTGATGGATATGGTCGCCGGGTCTGCATCGCCGTTGGCTGCGCGCTAGTGCTCGTTGGAACCGCCGTTCAAGCTACGGCCAACGAGATGGGTCACTTCATTGCTGGTCGCTTCATCCTCGGATTTGGCGCGTCCATCGCCTCTGCTGCTGGTCCTGCCTACACCGTTGAACTCGCGCACCCTGCCTATCGTGGAACCATGGCTGGAATGTACAACAACTTCTGGTGGGTTGGCAATATTCTGGTAAGTTGTGCTTGTACGAAATGCATGTGAGACATTTACTAACTTCGTCTCTTCACAACACTAGGCAGGTTGGACGACGTACGGTACCAATCTTCACATGGGCAACTCTTCATGGGCATGGAGAATCCCCACCATTGTCCAGTGCATTCTCCCTAGCATCGTTATGGGCTTGATCATGTTTTTCCCAGAAACGCCTCGTTGGCTCTTGGCGCATGACCGCAGAGAGGAAGCCATCGCTATCATGGCAAAATACCACGGAAACGGCAACCCCAACTCTCCTATCGTACAGCTTCAGCTACACGAGATCACCGAGGATTTTGCTGTCACTCGCAACGACAACCCCTGGTGGGACTTCCGTGAGCTTGGCAATACCAAGGCAGCACGTTACCGATTGGCCATGGTCATTGCGATGGCTTTCTTCGGTCAATGGAGTGGTAACAACGTTGTCAGCTATTTCATGCCCGCGATGGTGAAAAATGCCGGCATCACAGATCCTAACAAGCAATTGCTCATCAACGCGATTAACCCAATTTTCTCGATGATTGCTGCCATCTACGGTGCCACTCTGCTCGACAAGCTTGGTCGCCGAAAGATGCTTATGGGCGGTCTCTGGGGTGGTCTCTTCGCCTACGTTCTCCTCACAGCCTTCACTGCTACCGCGACCAAGGACAACAACCTCGCCTACGGTACCATCGTCTCCATTTACCTCTTCGGCATCTTTTTCGCCTGGGGTTGGACCCCCCTACAAACCCTATATGCCGTCGAATGCTTAGAGAACCGTACTCGCGCAAAGGGATCTGGTCTCAACTTCCTGTTCCTTAACGTCGCTATGGTGGTCAACACCTACGGTATCTCAGTGGGAATTGAGAAAATCGGATGGAAGCTTTACCTCGTTTACATTGCATGGATTTGCATCGAGATTGCCCTTATCTTCTTCTTCTTCGTTGAGACTGCAGGCAAGACTCTCGAGGAGCTTAAGGAGATCTTTGAGGCGCCCAACCCAAGGAAAGCTAGTTTGAAAAGGGCAAAGGTGGAGATCGATGACAGTGGAAACATCCACAATGTTCACGAGTGATGTACGATAGGGGACATTGGATGTAGTACGATGATTCATGGCAGGATGAAGCTTTACGCGAATGCTACGAAGTTTAATGTGTTGTTCCTGATCGAAATGCGTCAGCTGTCTCTGTTGTCTCGCGCTAAATCTTCTAATGATCTTAACATTATTCCCTTCAAATGCAAGAAGCTGTTTCACTTACGTGTTGCTATGCAAACTACTCGTACCTTCACTTAAGCCCCTGCCAGAGAAAAGTCTCGAAAATAGCAGGGTGGAATTGTGGGAGCGAGAGCTGAAGTTGGCACACACATTGGTTAAGGGTGGTGCCCTTAAGATCTAATCGTTCTTGCAGTACTTCTTGTCTACAACAATGTATCTGACTGTATAGATATAATATATATTACAGAGGTTGTGAGTAGCAGGCTATCCTTTTCTGAGTTATTATAGCATTTTGAAACAAAGTAGATGACAAGAAAGTGTGAATGTGTAATTAGGTGCAAGTCCAGGAAAGAAATATGAGAATAGACGAGAGTTCAAAGCACCGACAAGGGAACATCACCGCTCGAATGGACTTCGCTGCCGAAACCGCCCCTCTTTGCTCGCGGTACAACCGGTGCACCTTCCCATGCAGTTCCTCCAGGCAAAACCTCTCCCTTCATAAGCAGCGACAAACTCCCAAGTTGTGCCTCATCTTCAACCTTACTCCCTGGTAAACAGATCGAGTACGTTTTAAGACAGGCGCGGCGACCAATAGATACGTTACCGACCTTCATGACGCGATCTTCGAAGAGATGAGTCTGCGCACCGCAGGTTGTGTTGATGATACACTCGTCTCCTAAAGTGACACAGTCGTATTCTGTGATGTCGCTGGAGAGAAGTGTCACCCTTGAGCCGACAGAAGCGCCCATAAGGCGGAAACACATGGCTAGATAAGGAGTACCGACCAAGTGGGCTGCCAACAGTGGTTCGGTGAGCGTTTCCCAGGTACTCGTCACCGCTTCGCTGAGCCATACGTTGAGACTCCAAAGAGGCCATTCAGCTGGCTTGTACCGTCCGATGAGGATCCATTTGATCGAAGCTGTGAATGTCAAGGCAGGTAGGGCGAATAAGAAGAGATAGAAGAGTGGTAGCATGAGTAAGGTGCGAACCGCGCCAATCTTGTGGTAGCCGTCGTGAGCAACCTGCAGTGAAAATCCGAGACCGAAGATCATAATGGCGCGTGGTAGGACAATGCGAAGGCCTTCGATAAGAAGTCGAGCAGCTATCCGGCCTGCAGATGGTCGGAAAAGTAGACTGTCTTCGTGGCCTTCCGCTCGTTGACGATTGGGCATCAAGACTGGTGGAGATCCAAAGCATGAACTATTACTTGCCATCGGGGTGTCTGCAGGCGGCGCTATGGATAGCACACCGAGCAAAGTTCCAGACGCTAGTGTAGTGCCTTGAGGAAGTACAGATGCATTGCCAGCGAAAGCACGAGACTCGAGCTTTGTCTTCTTGAGCGTCACCTGATTTCTCCTCACCACATCCTCTCCCATGACCACTGCGTCGGCAACGAAGCTTTCCTCACCAATCTCCAGAAGCTCGAAGGGGATGTTACGTGCAGTTGAGATCTCAGCACGTTTGCCAATTTTTGTTCCCAGTGCCCGGAGGAATGGAACAATGTAAAGAGTAGCGAAGACAGGGTGGAGCACGTCCAAGGCAAGGTCCATCAATCTATCAACGAACCACTTCCGAAGATAAAACATGCTGTAGATACTATATGTACCTTCCTTCAGACGGCCTAGGAACAGATGGCGGTAGACCAGCAGCTGAGCGAAAACCAAGATTTGATACGCAAAAGCGATTGGAACCGACAGAATCGCAACTTGCTGCCATCCACTGATAGATCGAATGTCGAGGACGTCGAAGAGTAACAAACCTGGTATCTGCGGCAGGAAGTACAGGAGAGGCAATACCAGGAATGCGACGAATGAATTACCAAATAGCATGGCTGCTGCCCGAGCTCTTGAGGGCCTGGTGTCTTTGGGCTTTGGTGAGCCGTCGTCTTTCACAACCTTGTCAAGACGTGCTGGCGATCCATGGAAGCGATGAAAGCTAGGTACATTCATACCAGAGGGTACAAGCGAAAGTGGCGCGACTTCTGCCTCTTCATCAATAGTTGCGCCACCCTCGATGACACAGCGCGACCCGATCACTGCACCATTTGCAATGACGATACGCTTGAGAATCAAACGGCCTCTCTCAACCACGGAGACGCTTAGAGAAACCTCTCCTCCGACAACCACGTCGTCACCAATCTCAATCAAATCAA